TTGCTCGAGCAAGTGCTTGAGTGGCTGCTGGTCTGTGAATCCAAAAGCGTCGCCCAAGCAAATACGGCCTCCACACGCGCACGGCCTCGGCCACGGCTAACATCTCCTTCACGTACGCGGACAACCCCAAGCGCTCCGGCCCGAGTGCCTTGCTGAGATAGGCCAAGGGTCGTCCTTCTGCACTAGAACCGCCTGGATCCCAGTATCGCTCGCATCCGAGTGAATCTCGAACAACACATCAAACCTCGGCATCGTGAGTATGGACGTGGTCGTCATGGCCTCCTTCAGCTCCTCGAAAGCCTTCTCGCTCGCCTCCGTCCACTTAAATGCTCCCTTCTTCATCATCTCCGTGAGTGGCATCGCGATGGACCCATAGTCCTTCACGAATTTATTATAATAGCCCGTGAGACCAAGGAACCCTCGCAACTGCGTCAAGCTTGTGGGTTTCGGCCAACCCACCATCGCCTCAATCTTCCTTGGATCCACCTTGACACCATCATGAGAAATAAAGTGCCCAAGGTACTCGACCACCTCTTGAGCAAACAAACACTTGGACGGCTTGATGTAAAATGAGTTAGCCTCCAGGATCCCCAAAAAAATCCGCAAGTGCCCAAGATGATCTACCCAAGTCCTCGAATACACCAAGATGTCATCAAAGAATACCAACAAAAATTTTCGAAGATACTCCTTGAAGATAGAATTCATCGCAAACTGAAATGTCGACGGCGCATTGCACAAGCCAAAAGGCATCACGAGATATTCGTAGTTCCTTGGTGCGTGCGAAAAGCCGTCTTGGGCACGTCCTCCTTGGCCAACCTAATATGATCGTAGCCCGTGCGCAAGTCGAGCTTGGAGAAGTAGCGCGCGCCACCCAACTCGTCCAGCATGTCGTCGACGCTCGGAATGGGAAAGCGATCCTTCACGGTAGCAGCATTGAGAGCGCGGTAGTCCGTGCAGAACCGCCACGTGTCGTCCTTTTTCTTCGCGAGCAGCACCGGTGACGAGAACGGGCTCGTGCTATGCTGGATGAGTCCGGACTGGAGCATCTCGTCCACCTGCCGCTCGATCTCTGCCTTCTGAAAGTGCGCGTACCTATAGTGATGCACGTGCACTTCTCGACCCTCCTCGACCAAAGGTATGCGGTGGTCGAACTCCCGGTGCAGCAGCAATCCCTTGGGCTCGCCGAGGACTTGGTCGAACTCCTCGAGCAAGTCATGCACCTCGTGCTGCCTCTCCTCGGCCACCTCCGCGCCCTCCCCCGTCTGCTCGACCACTACGACGTACAACTGTCCGCCATCTCGCCACACCTTCTCAATGCTTTTTAGACCAACCTCCTTGGTTGCCCCTTCACTAGCCTTCAAAGTAATGAGCTCATCACCGACCTCGAACTTCATCACACCCTTCTAGTAATTAGTCGTCACATCTCCGAGTCCCTCGAGCCACTACACCCCAGGCACCACATCCGGCCCCACCAAAGGCAAGGCAAACAAATCCGCCTTCACCGTCACTTCCTAAAACGTGATCGGAACGCCCCGGTACATCTCCGAGCACCGCAAGCGCTCGCCATTCGCCACCCTAACCTCGAACGGCTCAATCGTGGACGTGGGCAACTTGAGTTTGTTGGAAAGAGTCGCATTAATGAAATTGTGCGACGACCCATTGTCCACGAGTATTGTAACCCGCCGATCCTTCAACCACGCTGGCAACCTCATAGTCATCTGGCCTTTAGTGCCCACCATCGCATGGACTGAGATCTCGGCCTCGTCATTGAGCACCTCGATCCCCACCTCCCATTCTTCCTTGATCACTGGCTCCTCGTCATCCGAGTCCACGAACTCGATCAAGAAATTCTGCTTGCACCGATGTCCCGGCGTGTACTTTTCCTCGCACCAGAAACACAGCCCCTTCTCACGTCTCCGCGCCATCTCCTCCTCCGTCAACCTCTTCACCTCGGTTGCTGGTGGCCTAAAGGTGCCCGGCGGCCTCATGTTCGCACTAGGTGTGCCCACGGTCGTCGGTACACGCCGCGGCTCCAGAACACGAAAATTCGCCCGTCCCCTTCGAGTCGCGGCCAAGTGATCCTCCTGTCTCCTTGCAACCTCCATGGCCTTGTGCATGGTCTTCGGCCTCTCCAATCGCAATTCGGCCGCGAGATCATACCTAAGCCCTCCAACAAACGCGCCAAAAAGCGCGCTCTCCGGCCACCCGCGAACCCGGCACGCCAATCTCTCGAACTCCTTTTGGTAGTCACGTACACTCCCCGTCTGCCGGATCCGAGTCAGCGCCTCGTCGTGGTTATGATAGTCTGAGTTCCCAAAACGCGTAAGGAGCTCGCGTTCATAATCTTCCCAATGGATTGGTTGTTGCCGCCCGCGATACACGCGCGTGAGCCACTGCCACCACACGTTGGCCTCACCATCTAAATAGTACGCGGCATACCGAACCCAGTCACGTTGTGACATCTCATTTAAGTCGAAGAACTGCACCGCCCTGTTCAGCCAAGCGCCGGGGTTGGTTCCCGTGAACGTCGAGAGCACGAGGCTTGGCTTCTCGACGTGTGGTCGCTCCTGTACGTTCGACGCCTGCGACCGCTGCTCGTACTCTTCCTCTTCCTCAGGGTTGTGCTCGACCCGCTGCTGCTCCTGTTGCCTTAAACGCTCGCGTGCGTTCACCCGTGGTTGCTCCTGCCGCTGTTGTTGCTGGAACCCGAGCAACACCTCCTCCAGACACTGCTCGAGACGAGCCACGGCAGCATTGGTGCTGATCTGTCCCTCGTCGAGCGATCCAAACCGACCCTCCATGCTCTCGCTTATGGCCTTGAATTGGCCTTCCAAACCTTCGACCCTTTCTTTCAACTCTCGATTGGCCATATCTTTTTTAGCTTGCCTACGTTCTCGACTTCCCAGACTAATTTTGATTTTTTTTTTGGCTTTTGACGATTTTTTTTGAACGAACGAAAATTAAGAAAGACAAATTAAAAGAGAATGGGAAAGGAAAGACACATGATCGACCCTCTCAATGAAAGCACCAATGATGAAGACCGTGTGTCTCGATTGCCGACAAGCCGCTCCCGCGCCTTAAATCGCCGATACTGTGCTCGGAGGTTCACACACTCACTGTAATAACCCAGTTTCGTGTTAATAAAAGCAACGTATTTTCTTTTATTAATCTCACTCATTTTCAGCATTCAAGTTAATAAGTTCGCCTTTAAGTCAAAAATTCTATTCGGTTAATTATTAACCGAATCAAATTCGATAATTAATTTCCGAACCGTTTATTTTATAAACGGATATTATTAATCGGGATTGATTATTGAAAGTTAAGAACGTTCAGATTTAATTTCGAAGTTAAGATCAAAGCTAAGTCACGGATGCACGCATTACGCACGCACGCATGCCGTGCATAGCCGTGCGTGTATGTGTGCGCGCAACCGCCGTATATGCACACGGTTAAGCCCCCTTAAGCGCGTGCTTATAGGCTCTTAAGCACTATGATCAAGCTAAGCAAATCTCGTTCCAAACCTTTAGTAATTTCCGTGAGGAATATTCAAAGAGATAAGCCATGGTGTGCAAGTTGTGTGGTGAGTCACCTACTAGCTTGCACACATGGCGCTACACGAGCTCACGGGCAATGACTAAGCTCGTGCATGCGTGACACCTCGGCAATGACTAAGCTAAATTCGTCCCACCTCAGCACTTGACCGAGACACATGTCGTCAAAAGAAGAAATCATCATCCATCACCTCTTTGACCTAGTTTCACCATGCATTTTCCATGCATTTTCTCCATGCAAAACCGAGACCAACTTCAGCGAACAGTAGAGGGAAAAATAGTGAGGAAAATATCATAGAGAAATTATAGAAAAATAGCTAAGAAAAGCCGAAGCCAAGGAGAAGCGAGTATATACTACGAACGCACCACGCAAGCTCACGCAAGCCACCGTGCA